TGGGTGGGGGGGGGGGGAGAACCAACATGGATAACTGAATACAGCAGATAAATTTAACAAATATTACTACAGTTGAATTTATTTAAGGTTTTCCCTGATGTAAGGTTCATTTTCAGTAATCCCAAGTTAATAATCTTCATGTCTATTGTCTGATTTAATATCTTTCTCAGTTTAGTTTTCAAATCTGACATTTCTTTGTGAAATAATATATGGGGATTTCACTTGAATAATTTACTTTGGAGGTTTAGACAGTATTTCCTTACCTGTGATGCTTCTGAATCTATGTAACACTAGTTTGTCAGAAAATATTGTGAATTTTATTTTAAATAATTGAGTAATTATTCTTTTCATTCTAAATGAGTTGAATGGCTAATTTGGTTTCCATAATTAAAATTCTGTATTAATTCTCACTTTATCTACTTTAATTGTTTGGTGTAGTCAATCATTACCTAATAACTAGATATTATAATCAACTTCAGACTACTCTGTTGTCACTGTCGACAATTACATGACAATCTTCATGCTTCAGGAGTTAAATTACTTTCAGCATTCTCATCAAAGCTTGGCTATGAAGAACACATACCTGGTCAAACACGAGACTGGAATGAAGAATTACAGACAACACGTGAGCTGCCAAGGAAAAATCTTCCAGAAAGGTTACTAAGGGAGAGAGCTATATTTAAGGTTGGTATTTTTGAGCCAAGAAAGTTGCTTTAAAAATTTTGTCAAATTAAATGAAGTGAGGGTACTATGTACTTTGATATTTGTAGAGCACTGATTTTTGCTAAGAATGTAGCAATGGAAGCTAAAAAATGTTCTGTAGTCAAAGCCTTTAGATATATAATGCCAGGTACAGTTTCTGGATTTTGACTGAGAAATTTGTGCTATTGCCTTCCTTAACTATTCCATTTGTATACATATTTTTGCTCGCTAGGTCTTTTGCTGAGTACTGGTACCAATAGTAATATTTTCCAGTATGAAGTTGTAAGTTTGAGAGATGTGTTGCATAGAATTGGATAAATTGCATGTGAATATGATGGTAGTGCTAATGGAAACATAATGATTACTGTTTCAATATATTTTATGATACACAAGTTTTGAAATATACCACAGTAGAGAGATGAATTTTTTCCCAGAAATTTTAAATCATGTTTGTGCTGTTTCTTCTTCATTTTGCAAATGTATGATGGCCTCATATTTCTGATGGAAATGATAGTTAAAAAATCCTTACATTGGCAGTGTTGTTCAACAACCATAAACAGAAATTCTTGTCGCCAGTCTGTTGTCTCTGATAGAAATGACAATCGAAGTGTGGCTCTAGACAGCTGCAGTACCGCGAATGTCAACTGTGTATTGGTAAAGTATTGAATTGACATAATTGTTCTCAGTTCTTTTGTTTTGCAGGTGCATAGTGATTTTGTTGCAGCGGCAACTAGAGGTGCTATGGCAGTAATAGATGGAAATGTTATGGCAATTAATCCTGGAGAAGAAGCTAAGATGCAAATGTTTATTTGGAATAACATTTTCTTCAGCTTGGGTTTTGATGTACGAGACCATTATAAAGAACTGGGTGGAGATGCTGCAGCATTTATTGCTCCAGTAAGTGATTCTGAATTTTCTTTACCTTGCTTTCCTTATAAAAAAAGGGTTTGTGGTAACATTGTGTCTGTCTGATCTAATAACTTTCGTTGCACCTTGCCTTTTCTTTTGTACCTTTTACTTTCCTATCATCAGTAACACCAACAAGTTGGTCATGTGAATTTTTGAGGTGGGAGTGTAAGATGGTTGGTGATCATTTTGTAATACAGATACACACGTGCACCTATCTGTGGAAATGCAGTAATTAATTATTAGGTACCTGTTTTGATACTCTTTTACGAGATTACATTTTGCAACATCCCAGAAGGCATTCACCTTCTTACTTGCTGCATTGAGAACCAGAAATCTCACCTCTATGCAGGAAGTCCATTACTTTTGTTTTATTTGCAGCGTAATGATCTTCAGGGAGTACGGGTGTATAGTGCAGTGGACCTGCAAGGTCTGTATACTTTAGGTACAGTTGTCATCGACTACCGAGGCTATCGTGTTACAGCACAGTCAATTATACCAGGCATCCTGGAGCGGGAACAGGAGCAGTCTGTGGTCTATGGATCGATAGACTTCGGAAAGACTGTTATTTCACATCCCAAGTACCTTGAGCTGGTAAGTAACAGAGATGTCTTAGACAGTTTACATTATGAGGTTGAGAGCAAGATGAAGAAATAAATATTTCTGTACATTAATCATTGCTTGCTGATTAATCTTTAAGTATTGTGAGTTATATGGTAGTAATGTTGTGTCATGTTGCTTTTCACAGTTATAAAAACTATTTGAATAAAACACAGTCTGATGCAACTAATTAATGTTACTTAATGGTCTTCACTGAAGCTGACATGTTTCGGAAATTATATTCTATCATCAGGTCAAAGAAATAATAATAAACTGGAGGAGTGCGCCAACGTGTAAAATATCCTCATTTCTTAATAAAATCATGAGTGAATACACACCAAATACAACCCATTCAGCCCAAGAAACTTTGGAAAATAAAAAGTGTGCAACATTCACATATGTACTTGGTGCTCAGTTAGAGAATGCTTGGAGAATTACATTGGATCCAGCAAATATGCATTTATGGTGCAATGATTAGGCACAAGCATAAGGACTTATTAACTTAATAGCATTTATTCATAAACTTGCTGGAAATGTAGTAACAAAGTACTTCAAACTGTAGACAGTTTGCTCAGTACTGGCACAGACATATTTCAATATTTTGACAACATGTACTTTTTTTGTCATAGTTGAACAAAGCAGGTCAGCAGTTAAAGATTCTTCCACACAAAGTTTATAATGATAAAAAGGAAGTAATTGAATTATGTTCATCAGTTGAGTGCAAGGGTATCATTGGCAATGATGGTCGCCATTATATCTTGGACCTTCTTCGAACATTCCCACCTGACGTGAACTTTCTAAAATGTAAGTTGATTCTGAAAAATAGTACAAGCAGCTTCTATTCCTAGTATAAATTTCTGTTGATCTGCAATTTCCTGAAATATTTGTGGGATACTCATCTGAGAACCCCAATTAAACTAATTGAGAAAATGTAGATGTCATTTACCAGTTCTGCAGATGTAAATTAGAGGGAAGGTGAGCTTTAAATATCAGTAATCTTGTAGTTAATATTCCCTGATTATACCGTTCTGTTACAGTGGAAGGTGAGGAACTTAGCACAGAAATACAGGCCATGGGATTTCCTATAGAACACAAACACAAACTTTGTTGTTTGCGACAGGAGTTGATAGACTCATTTGTTGAGTAAGTATAAAAGTGGCAAGAATTAGTTTGTAAATACTGTATTTAATCATATAAGTCACTTTGTTTTCAAAACTTTATAATAAAAGTTTGGATATGTTATTTATGCAGGGATTTAGAAACATTGTTTGTTTCTATGTAACCTCATTCATAGCTATGAAAAATGTTGTTTTAAAACATTATACTTGTAGTTGTTAATGTATTTAACATCATTACATTCCCATACAGTTTCATTAAATGTTGTATAAATCATAAATTTTGTTCAAAGTAAAACATCAATGATTAAATGCACAGATAAGTCATTTAAAATCAGGTAATTTCAGTAATATCAAGGTTTAGAAATAATGTAGAAGAAATTTTGATAACTTTGAATTTAATTTTGTCGTCTTGAATAGTAGATAAAATTAATGACCTTGCTGTTGCAGGGCACGGTACATGATGTTTATCAAGTATGCAGCTCTCCATTTGCAACAGTTGGGTCTGAA